AGTTTTCCTGCGTTTTGAGCAGGCTTTTTGGTTGTTTTTCTGCTGGATGATCTGACCCGGCTTGACCCGGCTGGCCTGCATGCGCCAGGTACACTCTGACCGGGCTGTGTTGAATTTCTAGAGCAGGCCCTGCAACCCCAGCTTGCAACGGATATTAAAGGGGAAGTTAAGGCAAAATTAAAATTTCACCAGTTGTAGTCTTCGGGGTGCTGAGTCGAATGGTCTTGGTCCGAGAAAGCTGAGACGCTCCCTTCCTACTTGAATCCCAATCGAACTCGCGCACTTCCACCGAAACTGGGTGACTGCGCCCTACTAGATGGGGATTTGTATGCAAAATGTCACTAAAAGCGCCATTTCGTTCTTATAAAAGCACAGATGACCGCGATTGGCCCATATGTTGTAGTCTTTTGGACGCTGAGTCGACTTGTTTTGGTCCGAAAAGGCTGCGATGCAGCGTTCCTCCTTTATTCCCAATCGAACATGGTTGAACAAGCGGTCACGTGCTCCTGGATGCGCAAATCACCTGGTCACCACGCCAGCAGGCGACAACTTTCACACCAAGGTTCAACTCGAGTGACAGGACTGCACCCAAAAAAGGTCAAACAGGCTAGTACCCTGCAGGCACGGTGACCAGGTGACTGGTGTACGCAGGAGCACGTGACCGCTTGTTCAACCATGTTCGATTGGGAATAAAGGAGGAACGCTGCATCGCAGCCTATTCGGACCAAAACCAGTCGACTCAGCGTCCAAAAGACTACAACATATGGGTCAATCGCGGTCATCCGTGCTTTTATAAGAACGAAATGGCGCTTTTAGTGACATTTTGCATACAAATCTCCATCTAGTAGGGCGCAGTCACCCAGTTTCGGTGGAAGTGCGCGAGTTCGATTGGGATTCAAGTAGGAAGGGAGCGTCTCAGCTTCCTCGGACCACGACCATTCAACTCAGCACCCCGAAGACTACAACTGGTGAAATTTTAATTTTTGCCTTAACTTCCCCTTTAACACGACTTGCGCTCTTGGATCCTCGGATCATCTGACCGTGTCATGTCGGTTCGAGCTCTCACCATCGCCTGGCCAACATCTGCAGCAAGCACCACGCAAACATTTCCCTTACCGCTATCTTCATGTCCCCTCTCACTGCTGGGACTCTCTTAATTCCGATCTCTCTCATTGTGACTGGTCATTTCTACGCCCAGGCAACTCCCCAACTGTTGACGACGCAGTCGATCGATTTTCAATCGTCCTGGAACAAACCTTCCAGCACCACCTCGCTGATTTTTCCACCCATTCTTGTCGGTCAAACACACGCACATCGTCTGTGACATCCAATCCACCCTGGTTGTCGACTGTCCTCGTATCTGCGGTGAAACGTAAACGAGACCTCTTCAGTGTCAGCCGAAAATTTCCAACACCTGTCAATATGGAGGCCTACCGAGTTCAACGCAACTTTGTCAAATACCTATCCCGTAAAACCTACCGCTCTTACATCAGCTCCCTCTCTGCAACAATCTCATCACCCAATCGTCCTTCTCTCTATCAGTTCATTCGCACCCAGCGTCCCAGTGTCTCTCGCGCCCCAATCCAGTGCTTGATTGATCCTGATGGCAACCGTCAGTCTGAGGCAAAGTCCATTGCGGACACTCTGAACAAACAGTTTGTCTCTCCCGGCCTTCCCGACGATCCGAACTGGGTTATCCCGCCCCTGCACCCAGCTCCAGAGCTGCGCGCTCCACTTCTGGAGGTCTTTACAACAACTGGTGTGGTCCGCAAACAACTGAAACGTCTTAAGAGCTGCAAGTCTCCTGGAAAAGGCGGTATTCCAAATGAAGTCCTTAAACTGCTGGTGCCTTCCTTGTCGTATCCCCTGTGCTTGCTCTTCAACTTGTCATATCGTGCAGGAGTCTTCCCATCTGCGTGGAAATCTGCTACTGTTGTCCCGATATTTAACCCTAGGACGGCCACCACTTTCAGTACTCCTAGAACGGCCAAACGGTGTCATTTGACACCTGCATACATTTCCATGTCTAAGACCTATGATATAGTTTATTATAGTTTTTGTTTTCAGTGCTGGCTATCACTAGCAGCATTTATGATGTACACAACACTTTGGGATTCACCCAGACACTATTGTTGGCTATGCGCAACTAAAATACAATGTACGCGTATCGGCAATTGCGAAGGATGAACTCAATTACTGGCAAAACTTAAATTACTTGCACAGGAATTTCTTATAATCACAGAGTTACAATAACAAGCAATGTGGCAACGTCACTGGACATGAGGAACTGCTTTTCGGGAATATGTGCTTTGGCATAATCGGATTACTCGACCGTCACGATGAATGACACACAGTAACAAGTACAAACATGGACTGACTATGAGCATCATTTTTTCACCAAGCTGACCCATATGCTGCTAGAGATGGTTTCAAGATTAGGCTGGTAAGTTCTAACGATTGAATTTTAGACTCTTTCAAAGAGGTATACCCTTCTCTTCTCCTTGGCTGGCACTTAGCAATCAGATGCCATGACTATCTACAAGCTTATTGACCAGTGCAGGAATGAGCGTTTTCTGGATGTGCATGAACTAGCAAAGGTCTGGGATATTGTGAAGGCGTTGATGCCTGTCACATCTATTCATTTATGTAACCGCCTTGCAGGGGGACATCTTCTGGAATAGTCTTTGTTGAGTAGATCCACCACATCCCATCGAAACGGTCAAGGACATATATCTCGTCTTTTGCTAGAATTGGACGATTTGGGGCTTCCTACTCTCACCATGTAAAACATATGGCTCTAGGTGGTCTACACTAGGCGGACCATTGTTAATTCTTGCTACTTCTACCTTCTAGGTCTACCATCTTTGCATCCTACAATGTAATCTTGAAAACAAAATTCAATCCGCGATTATTGGCAATGAAGTTAGATGGTAGTTCACTTCAATTTACCAAAGTGGTTCATAGTGCAACTCTTTATTCTCCAACAGTTTCTTCACCAGTAATGCACTGATGATGAAGTTATCAGTTATTACTTAGCAATCACCTTCTGCAGCATCCGGGGCCAATAAAGAGAGAGGAGGCATCCCAGCGGCTGCCTACCCATTTAGCCTGAAGCGGGGGAGGAAGATGTTTGGTACAAGAGCCTTATTAGCTCGTCAAGTAGTTTGAAAGGATTATCTACACAGCACCATCCTTGCGATAATGCGGTGTACCATCTCCAGGTTGCAGAGTTGCGATTCCTCTTCCTCAACACTATCCATTTCGGGGTCTCCGCCACTCCTGCAACTGTTTCTGACAATTCCTTGTCTGGACTATCCCGCAATGCTCGTCCGCTCTCTGGAGGCTCGTAAACCTCAACACATTCTGAATCCACAGGTGGTGCCCAGGTGTTGTGACCGTACGATTCACCCTCATATGACAGAACAGATCCACCACTGCCAATGATCACTACACTTGAACAGCCAGCAAATGAAGATAAAGTGGGCAATTTCGCTTTCATGGTCATCAGATTCATGCATGGTAATAGGCTACATCCGTTCCAGTATTTCCTTGGCCGTCAGACCGCGATGACTCCTCCGGGGCAATTTACAGGAAAATGAAAGGGAATGAGCAGTACCAAGGACATTAGCTGAAGAGTGTTTGTGTAATCTGTGCGCCAATGGTTACCCGCCCCAAATTCGCGATTCTCGCCCGACGGTTGTATGTTGATCATATATTTCGTCCTGTATTCAGCAATTTTCCTGCCCATGCACCTTTCTTTTGTCTGGTTGTCATACGAGCAACTCGATATGGCCGACACATTCGAAATGTGTTCATATTGTTTCCATCTAGCTGCAATAATGGCTTTTTATAGTGCAGGTGTCAAATGACACTGGTTGGCCGTTCTAGATATACGTACTCGCCATTATGGTACTTCATCAATTACGAATCAAAGGTTTATGGCAGACGAAAGAGGAAGCAAAATTAGGAATAGTCACAAGATTTGAGCTTATTCTGATTAGCCATATTTCAGTAATTCCAAAAGTTTGACTCGCGCGGTGTCAAATGACACCGTTGGCTGTTCTAGGGTTAAGAAAGGACAACGCTCCCAAGCTGTTAATTACAGGCCCATCTCCCTCCTACCAACTATATCCAAGGTCTGTGAACGCATCTTCTATGAATCTCTCTACCACCATGTCACCCCTGCCCTCTCCTCTGCACAATCCGGCTTCTGTCGTGGCGACTCATCTACTTTGCAATAGACCAATCCCCTTATTATACTGGGTTCGAGCACGGGGCAACCTCACTCGCGATCGAGCTAGTTTTTGAACGTGACAGCATCTTTGACAGTGTGTTTCAGGTTTGTTTTGGAATGTCTTCTGCTTAGTTCAAGTGGTTTGCAATGGCTTCGAGCGGTGCTGAACCTCCTGCTGGTTGGAGCAGAGTCTCCGAGAGAGACATGGACTGTGATGCAGCTACAGGATTTTTTCAAGGCGCGGGAGGGAACGATCTCGGGCCACAAACAGGAGTTTCTCCAGAGGTGAGTTTTTTTATTTGTTGAAATATTCGAATCGCGAATCGTGTTGTGAGATTTATTTTGTGCCTAGGCTACAGCAGACCGTATTTCTTTCTCCTTGAGATCGGTGCTTCTTTGTCTATTTTGCTCATGCCCATCATCCACCACTGCACACACAACGAAATGCGGGTGTGCAGGCATACTGCACAAGATCTTCTTGCCCAAGAAAACATTTTGTGAAAAACTCGCAACAGCAACAGCATCAGACACTGGCTTCCGCAACAAACAAGCAAACAACAACCAGCAGCCGCATCCCTATGGACCAATAAGCAACTAGAGCATGTGCAACGGCTATCCAGAGTCAACCACACGTGCAACAGCATACTATTCGTAACAGCGGCTATACTGCCAGTGCATATGAAGAACAATCATATACACAGAGCCAGCAGCATCATTTTTAGCAATGACGGTTTGACGTATGGTACCAATAGAACAGCAGGGTGGGTGGGTGGGCAACTTTCTGTCTGGCAAGAAGAAAAATAATGAACAGCACTCTGCGCCAGCACGCTTTTCCAGCGGCCGCGGTGCCCTCGCACCCATCGGTGACCACGAGCAAAAATCTACAAAGAACATTATTTCTCGTTTATTTCGCTGCGTTCAGCCAACGAGAAATGAACACTTCTTTGTCTATTTTGCTCATGCCCATCATCCACCACTGCACACACAACGAAATGCGGGGTGTGCAGGCATACTGCACAAGACAGACAAAGCATAGCCGTCACTGTGAAAACCTGGCATGATCTCTACCAGCTGGAGCGTTTAGGATACTGGCTCCCACTTTCTCAGCGTGACACCTGGTGTCTTCCATCACGCAGCCATGCCCACCACCTCGACACCAGCAGCAGCGATACGGCAACAGTTGCCTATCTCGGATCCTGGATCCCAACAACGCGGCACCCGGTGCCACCTACAGCATGCACCACACAACACCAGAGCAACAGAGCAACACGGCAGTAAATGTTCCTACATAAAGTGAGTACAGCAAACACCAACCGGTAGAGCCTTGTCTCGTACCATCGCAAGCCTGGCAGTCACTGCAATTAACTTTAAACGATTTTAATATTAAAATATGAACGATTATCTCACTAATGCACACGACACCAACTAAGCACAGTTGCCCAGCTGCAACGACTTTAAACCCCTCCCCCCTGTTAACCCGCAACAACCAAGCCCTCGACCGCTCGGGGCCCTGGAACTGAAGCACAACGTGCTTATATAAACAGAAACAAATAAATAAATAATGCAACTCTCTCACTGATTGCACTGGATGCCAAATAAGCTAAAGCAATTCTAACAACATGAGACCCCCCAGCCCACAGTAATGTCAACGTGGCATGGCTTGCTGACCTGGTTGGCCTGCAGTGTTAGCCCGCTGGGGACAGAACTTGACATAATGACCCGGCTGCCCACACCGGTGGCACACACCCGAGCGGAAATTGCCCATCGGCGCATGCATAGCTAGAGGCGGGTGGCTAAGTGGCATCACGGCCCCCTGCATGGTATGGATTGGGTTTGGCATGGTTGGGCCCCGCACCACCCCAGCTACCTTCTTCTTAGACCCTTCAGCCTGGATCGCAGCCTGCAGACGTTTCTGCTTTTTGGCTCCCCCAACTAGTGCCATCAGCTGATCCCCTTCCTGAAAGGATGTTGCCACCTGATGGCCGTGCTTCTCCGCAATCACAAGCCACTCTTGCCTCTCCTTCAGCAACCTCTCACCTTTTTTCGCTGCCTTCCTTCTCCTCTTCTTGGACTTTGCCGACCTCACATCGTGCAGCAGATCCAGGAGCTCGGCATTCAGCTCGAATTGTTTCGCGTAGCTTGTCGTCTTCCAGCTCGCGACGTCGCCGGCGGCAGACCTTGCTTTCCGCTTTGGCGACCTCGACCGGGATCGTGACGAGTCCGAGGAGGAAGATCGTGACGATGATGATGATGGCGACCCTGACTGTGCTGAATCCCTTGGTCGTTTCCTTTTCAGGGATCTGCCACGGGCTGTCAGCTCACTGACACTCCTTTCGAGCATCCGGATTTTCATCCCCAGCAGCTCCCTCTCCGCCATGAGCTGGGAATGCGGCATTCTATTAATCGGTGACGCCGGAGCCTGCGTCTCAGCTCCGCGGGGGACTTGCTCTTCTACTGCAGTCTCGTATTCCGACGAGGTGTTTCCAACTATGTCAGAGTTGGGAAACTCGAACACAGACAAGTCACCTCTCCTCCTACCACTACCTCTGCCTCTGCCAGAGGCCACCTGCCCGGCGCTTGCAACACGTCCACGTCGACCCATTCTGTATCCGGCAAATATTACAAAATAATCGAAATCCGCGATATTCATGTTAAAACAAAATGGCGTCACGATTTATTGAAAGTGGTATAGTTGGTGGTACGAGTGTTCAAACCCATTTGAACTTCATACTGTTCGTCTTCTTTTTGACATGCTCTCTTTCCATCGTCCTTAGCTTTTGTTTGTTGAGAGCTGTTTTGGCTTTCTCCTATACCTCTGGGGGATGCCAAGTGATGGTTTTGAGAGGCTGGTGATGGCTGGGAGCGAGAGTTTGCCGATCGGCGTCGTCCTCGCTATAGCGATGAAAATACTAGTTACTGCGCACCTGGCAGATATCAGAACACGTCGGAGTGTCCAGGAGCAAAGGAATCTTGGGTTTTCACTGGAATCTAGTTCCTCCAGCATCGTGTAGCCCACCGTCGGTGAATGGCGGTCCAGAAAGGTCGAACCTGGTCTTCTGCAGCATCTCGCAGTCCTGTGAGGCACACTGAATACGCCTGTCATGTATTCTACAAATATAAATCACGAAGTAGTGGACTTTACAGTGATGAGTGTATCCTGTATGCTGCAAAAGACGCAGGAAATGTGACTGGTGTCTGTACACTCAGTGACTGGACGCCAACACCCCAGTCTTCTCCTGCATGATCTGTTTGACATTGACATTATGCAGTAGGTCGGCATCATGACCTGGTTTGGCAGCTATCGGCGTAATAGTATCTGCCTGGTTGGATGTAGCAGGTTGGTGTTTGCTCGTCGTCCAGTCCGGAATTTTCTTGTAACTCACGGTGGAGTACGCGCAGGGTTTGTGATCATCCCTGTTCACTTCAATATTATCAAACACAACGTTCCCTTTGTCACTCATCTTATCCTGAGTACTGAATTTGCTGACAATATTGCACCACACTTGTCACAACCTACCACCACTGCTGGCGGTGGCGACTGGTTCGTCAATGGCGGTGACCAGGCTGACTGACTAGCTTCGAGACAGCGGCCTCGTTGTCAACCCCGCGGCAGCCTTAAGGTTGATTTTATCGATCCAGCCTCAGCGCCATGTTGACGATGCCCTAGTGACTGTGTGTCATGGATTGCCTTGCCATCAGCGGTCATTGCCGTCCACCTTGGTGCAGCCCTCAACAACTGGCTCAGCCCATGGGAGTCTCAAGTGGACAAAGTTGTTGCCAAAGTAGCTCAGAAGATTGGTGCATCGTGGTGTAGGTGAGCACATAACTAGGACTTCCCAGCGCCTATTTGTCCAGGCTGCGATACTATGTGACATGCTGTACTGCACATTCTTTTCAGCACTGCAAGGCCGGCAGCTGGACCGACTGCAGGGGCCGCGCACATGCAGGCCGCCTATTGCCAGTGCAGCATTCTGGAACGTCCCTTCCTTCTGAGATCCGTGGAATAATACCTTTCTTTGCTTCAAAGCAAGTTGCTTACCTTTCTGTTGTGCTCCCAGTGTCCTTACAACAATAACCTACAGCAATGTTTTATTTTCCTTTCCATTCCCCAACCAATGAATACTACGATGTCGATTCTATTTCTGAATACTTTATTGTGTGCCCGCGCACGCACGTGTTTGTGTGTGTGTGTGTATACCTCACTCTCCACTCGAAGTTCTGTTCCCCATCACTGGAACACTGCCTGTTCTTTCAGGACCTGCCATCATCTGCGGATGGGCATTCAATGATTGTATTGTGTGTGTGTTTCATTCAGAATCAGATCCGCTACCGTTGCTATAAGAGAAAATCTGTGGGTTCACATCCAGTGCATTTGTAGATTTGCGTGCTTTTCTTGCCACGGGCGCATACATGGGACATTGTGTGTGCGTGTGTGTGTGTGTGTGTGTGCGTCTGTGTGTATGGGGATATTGTCTGTATCGGCTTTTGGTACTAATGTTCAGGCCTGTGCTTGCATGTGTGAACATGACATTGTTCGGTTCTGTGCATGCTATTGCTATGTTGTATATTATTGTATGTATGTGTGCATTTCCACGAACAGTGTAGATGAGCGTGGAGAGTGCATTGATCCCTCATCAGCCACTTCCCCTTGCGCTTACGAGAGTTTTTTCTGCGTACCTCTCATTTTTATTTGTTTCTCTCTGATACTGTATTGATGCCGGTACCTGTACCTCGATGTGTTCCTCTATATTATTCTGCAGTCACCTTTAACCTTCGGTCAAGTTAACGTTTATTGTGCTCTATTTATCGTGCGAATCAAAATAAACAATAATAACACAAGTCGTGCTAGAGTGACGACATGTGCGTGTAGTAGGGTTGATGCGATGGGACATTATAATTAGGTGGAACAGAACACAAATTGGGCAGATTGATTGGGCATCATTGATTGTGCTCAGTCCGAACAGTGAACATAATATTTATCTCCAGTGACAGACTGTAGCGGCTAGCCTCCAATAGGTAGCTGGCACTAGTCGCTACTGCTTGTTTGACAGGTGCCGCCAGAACCCCTGTTGTGTCATGCTATAGATGCACATGCCCTATTCTGGGGCATACTGAGGTACTTTGATTTTGTTGACTGCATGTAGACAGCATCCAATAGTAGTACTCGTAGACCTTGGCTCTTTGTAGGTCAACCACCATCGCATGGATCGATCGGTGACTATGCACTTGGAGGTTGGAATAGCCCGCGCTGAACAGATCTTGCCATGGCCCAGGGAGTGAACTCGCTTACTCGACTATCCCGGTTTTAGTTAACCAGCATGAGTGGTGCAATTTGTCCATACCATGTTGCGAGCTCACAGTTGTTTGGGCAGGTTTTGAGCTGCACCACGAAACAAAGCGAAATAACGGCGTGACTGTCGAGCAAGGAAGCGGCGAGACGGCACTTCCAGGACGAGACAGGCAGTAGAGATGTGTTCACAGCACGAGCAACCTCTCAAACCCTGCCGGTACTCCACAGTTACAAGAAAATGTCGGACTGGACTACGCGCCAATGCAAACCTGCTACATCTACCCAGGCAGATAGCTGCCAACCCAGGCCAATGTCGACCCACTGCATACCGGTATGTCAATGTCAAACAGATCCTGCAGGAGAAGACTGAGATGATATTGGCGTCCAGTGTACGGACACCAGTCACATTTCCTGTGTCTTTTGCAGCATACAGGATAGACTCATCACTGTAAAGTCCACTACTTCGTGATTTTTATTTGTAGAATACATGACAGGCGTATTCAGTGTGCCTCGCAGGACTGCGAGATGCTGCAGAAGACCAGGTTCGACCTTTCTGGACCGCCATTCACCAACGGTGGGCTACACGATGCTGGATGAACTAGATTCCAGTGAAAACCCAAGATTCCTTTGCTCCTGGACGCTCCGACGTGTTGTGATATCTGCCAGGTGCGCAGTAACTAGTATTTTCATCGCTATAGCGAGGACGACGCCGATCGGCAAACTCTCGCTCACAGCCATCACCAGCCTCTCAAAACCATCACTTGGTATCCCCCAGAGGTATAGGAGAAAGCCAAAACAGCTCTCAACAAACAAAAGCTAAGGACGATGGAAAGAGAGCATGTCAAAAAGAAGACGAACAGTATGAAGTTCAAATGGTTTTGAACACTCGTACCACCAACTATACCACTTTCAATAAATCGTGACGCCATTTTGTTTTAACACGCATACGGTCCATTCCTGGCCGAGACTGGCAACTTTCTGTCTGGCAAGAAGAAAAATAATGAACAGCACTCTGCGCCAGCACGCTTTTCCAGCGGCCGCGGTGCCCTCGCACCCATCGGTGACCACGTGCAAAAATCTACAAAGAACATTATTTCTCGTTTATTTCGCTGCGTTCAGCCAACGAGAAATGAACACTGAAGATAATAGTAAACTTTTTCTGGTCTGCCTTTTCCTCTCCAGAGCCATCTTCTATGAAGGTAACCGTGGTGCTGCCAAGTCACCAAGTCGCGATCGTTATCAGCAGCCCTGAAGTGGAAAAATCGATTTTCCAACGATCTGGTTGGACATCAGCCACTAAAGTACTTCTGATTTGCCTGTAGTGACAACAGCAGCCTTCCTTGGACACCTTGCAAAGACAGGAAAAGCCACTGCATGTTCAGAGTGAACTATTTTATAGTATATTTAATGTGAGACGGGCTGTTTACGCCCAAGATGAAGATAGTTTTTTCCGTTTCTATACCTTCCTAATAAAATACATTGTTACAGAGCTTTCGGTCATACTCCGCTGTACTACATCCTCAACCCGCCACCACCATGCGCTCTTGGCCGAACTAATGCACGAAGCATACACACACCAGCACAGCAAGGACACTTCCGTTGACAGATATTGTTACCGCCTCTAGACAGCTGTTTCGTTTCTTCGAGCTCATCGTTAGAGGAGGATAGTAGCTGGATACTAATGATGATATAATATAAGATGATAGACGGTTTATGGTCCGATATTGATGATTGGAGATCTAAGAAAGCAATGACAGTGATTGCGAAATGGATAATATTATCATGATTATATGCCAGTCTGGTAATGCGTTGTATTGGTGGACAGTATATTGAAATCATCACTGCATTCGATGCAAATATTGCTATACCTTCAGTATTGGAAAAAAGATTAAGAGAACCTGGTTGATTTGGTTGCATCTGCGACTGGCTACTGGGTGTTGTGATCAGCAATGTTACCATGGGAGAAAATAAGAGCGCAAGGATCTGTTGGGTCTTGTTGTGCCGTGCCGGTGCGAGAACCCTAAGTGCATGGCAAAATAGAACTGTTTCATCCACAATGCAGAATGTCTTGCGGTACATGGCATTGATGACTGAACATCTCGCCAGCTCGCCCAAACGGAGGAACAAGACATCTTTCCAGCTCAGCTAGCCATATACCGTGAAACGGATGATTAACTTGTGCCACGCATGCCAGCTTCTGTTCCATTCGGCCCAGGCTTAGACACATCAATGCCAATAGCAGCTGATCCTCCATTACATGCTCATTGGCGATTTACGGCCACCTCCAACTGCATTCGCCGTCCCTCAGCTTCCGTCTTCGCAGATCTGGCGCGGCGCAGTA